TCAGTCGACTCTCTCAGATCTGGCTGGACGCAGTCAACACTAGCCCTGGCTTCGCCAGTGGCCACTGCCAACCCCAGACAGCAACACGGGGTTCTGTACACAATAAAACTCTCATTCTGGTGATTCTTGCCTTTTCCCTTCAACCTGGGATTCGACCTGATGATTGTATTGATGTGGGCACAACCATTACCTAGACCGCTGCAATACAAAGTTCCCAAACGGAACAATGATAAGAAATAAAAGAATGCATGCTTGTGACATGGTTGCCGGCATTGGAGAAGAGACAGCAGATTCTGTCTCGATACCTGGTGATTAAATGGCACAAAATAATAATGGACTTCGATGCTCACTGGCACTCATCGGATTCTGTCGTCCGTCAGTCAAACCAACTGATAATTGCGCTGTCTTATCTAGCAGGTGCGGAAAACGAAGCTAAGAACGGTGAGTTAGGCGTCGACCACCGGCGTAAAAAGGTATCTAAGTGGTGGGATTAACACAATATACGGCGAATTTTCACAAGGGCATTTTTGGAAAATGTGTAAGGGACTGGAACACTGGAATGAGAGGCATGATCATCTGACGTTTTGGTCCATTATAAAACACAATTATCACATGAAGCAGGCGATTAGCACGGAGTCTCTAACTAGAGTAAATAAAGGTGACAGTAGGCCTTCGCAAAAATGTCAGGGATGAAGTTGCATCCGTTCGGTAAATCCGAATAGAGCCAACAAAGAGTAACAATGAGAAAGAAGGTCAACGAATTTCAAATAACGAAGAGTACTTTTGAAGCTCCTGCTGTACGAGGCAACGGTGAATATAAGAAGCTACTCAGTTGTTCAGACCAATGCGCTCCCACCCAGGGCAAGGTCAAAGATTTCACGTTAGCAGCAGCATGAGTAAAACCAGCTTTGCCAAGGCACTAACTTTAAGGCGAACAGAGTTACAACATTTGGATAACAGATGTTCTAGGTGTGTTACGTATATGGAATTTGTGTTAAAGCCGACTGCCTATGACAAAGTGCATAAAAAAGTCTTCAGTCTTCCAATCTCGGTTAGACTACTGCCTCTGATCGCGCATCATTAGGTTAACGCTGTCACAGACCGGGGAGAACCTTTCCGGCTTCTTGACCAAACCAGATGGATGTTTACACCAAATCTAGGATAGGGTAGTTTGAAAAAAGTCTGTATGCAGTTTTGAGCTGATTTCTAATACAGACTTGGAAACTCACAAACTCCGCTGACAACTTTGTTTTCTGGTCCACGTATTCTGGGCAGCTTGTCCCGAGCATGAGTGTAGCAAAGGCGGAGACCTGTTTCATGTAGGACGGGAAGGGGTATTGTTTCGATTTGGCCTTCTCCTGAGCCTCTGGACTTAATTTACGACAACAAAGCCAGAGTCGGACTTCAGCAAAGGGGCCTGTAGTATCGTTGCGTCCAGACCAAAGAAGCTCATTCTTTTCAAATCCTGCAAGTACAAAAAATAAGGGAGACTTCAGCTTGTCATGCCTGCCTTCGTGTGGCATATTTCCGCATATTTCGAGTTAGTTGACAGCTCTTTGGAACGGAAATAAAGCACAATTCGACAGCTCTTATGTGTGCTCGAAAAAAATAGTTTTTTTATGTGTCCAACAATAGTGAAGTTAACGTCCCACGCAATGATTATTCTTTTAACAGCTCAGGCGGGTTAGTTGTGAAAACTTAATCAAACCCATAAGCTTAGGCCCTCACGATCAGCTAGGGGCTTTTTTTACCATTTTTTAATTTGATTTCCAAGAAAAAATAACTTCCTTTAAGTCACATCAGCGAATTGGAACTCCACGCACTGTGGAGTTAGAACGCATCAAACCTGCGAAACTATTAAAAAATTTCGATCTGGGTCTTTATTACTCCGTCTGTGAAGGCTGGTCAGGCTTGATAGGAGCTTAAACTGTTCTTTGCGGCCCGGTTGAGGTAAACTAACCACCGAAAATCAACGATAAAAGGATTTTTTTCCGAAAACAAACAATGGTGACGCAATATAAACTAGTGTATTTTCAGTTTTTTAATTCCTTTGGAAATTAATTCCTTTTTTGAATTCGCTAAAAATCAGTATATTAAAAGTCTTAAGGCATATACCGAAACGTGATACATATATTAGGGCTGAAATTCGTTAGCCATTGTGGGATAGCCACGTAATATACCTATGTTATCAGTATACTAAATAACAACATAAAGTTAAAGTAGTGTGTGGATTAAAGCAAAACGTTTAAAAACATGCAATTTGTCCCGGGCCTGAAAACCTAGTTTACTCTCCAGAAACTGCTGTAATCCATGCTTTTCACGAGAAATAAGTGAACACCTTGGTAGATGCTTCTCTGAAAGTATATACTGTAGTCGTATAGTGCATCGGTTAACCAGTTAACTGTTAGGCCTCTTTCGAAGATTGCAAATGCTTGTAGCGACCCCTTATTCTTAGTCATGCTTTCCT